ATATGTTCTTCACATTGGATGCTCTAATTAATGTTTTTATTAATTGATGCTGGATTTCTTCTGTGTGCACGTGTATGTGTGATTTACAGTACCAGGGAGAGGAACACATTCATTGCAGTACACACTAGTGACAGAAATATCTAACTTGAAACATAGGCAAGTCCTCAGCTTAAGTCTGTTATACTGCAAGGAAGTCTCCTTTTTTGAAAGGCAAGAGTGCTCAGCCATAGAAAAGTTTTGGCTATAACTGCGTAGAAAAATGATAGCAGCACACGAGCTACAGCATTGGAGTGCGATCCAAAACTCTTGCTCTCCATCCTCTGTTACTAGAGGTTTAGTGTTGAATCAAAAAGAAAAATAAAGTAAAATGTCTTTTGAAACATATACTTATTTCTAGTGCAAAGCATAGCAAACAAAAAAGTAATCAAGTTGGGCAATTTTGCTTTCCCTAAAGCAAAAATTATTACATGTCAGTCTATCATAGACAATAGGACTTACTGAGTGTGTTTTGGTTATTTTTCACCAACACATTTTCCAAAGCTTTGCAATTCATACTCTACTGTGATGTTATTCCTCTTAGTGCATCCTCTTCTTGCTTTTAAAAGAAACCAAACTATTCTGTGCTACATCTGAAACAGGGGTACCCTGAGGGGTGCAAGCAGTCCCTTATCCTCCCTGAGAAATTGTACTTGTTTATAATTACAATTATCAGCTGGAGGCTGCTCTTCCCACTTCCACATTTTCCCTGTCCATAGTAGTGTAATGTTGACACAGACATTATATTTCTCTAGAGGTAGTATAAGTTTGCACTTGGGAGACAGATAGGGAAGCTGTGCATGCCCACCATGAGGAATTAGTGATAAAAGAACCTTTTACATCACAGATAAATTGCCTGAATCTTGTTTGTGTTATGCTTTGGTTGGAGTGGCTGGGGCCTTCCTGTAAGTTCACACTCATCTGACCAAGATGGCAAATGGGCCTTCACTGACTACTGGCCCAAACAATGCCTTATGCTCAGACTGGACAACAATATATAATCTAGTCCAGATCTTATACGCTTCTTAGTTTGGTTTAGGTTTGGAGGTTTTTTTTAACAACTGTATCTTTTAATTCAGGTTTTCCAAGGTGATCAACTCCTTGGTGATTTCATCATAACAAATATGGCTATTTAAAATATGCTCCCCTTGCATATTCGCTTTTTGTGAACAGGACAGCTTTCCAACAGCTTTTGTTTTTCCTGACTTGCAGTCAGTAAATTAAAGCCGGATGTTCAGTAGAAGTTCAGAACCAAATCTGGATTATGTTTATTCATACCTCTCTCAAGTCATTTTTGTGTCATTGCTGTGTCAGTCATAATGTTCCCTTTCTGTGAAGTGCTGAGCCATCCTTGCCAAGGCTAGCAATTCGTAGGACTCAGTTTTACTGTATGTCCTACCAATGAACTCAGCCTATATATTGCTAAATAAACTGCTGGATAAGTAGATAAGCAAACCGTAGCTGAAATGGAAGATGCCTCCTGGCCTAACATAAATGAGCCTTTCTTGATTTGTTGGTCACCTCCTGACTAACTGTACAAGCTATGGAGCAGAAAAATCTAATTTGCTCTGACAAAGAACAAATAATGAATTAATATTTCTGGATCAACAACTTAAGCAACTTACCTGGTACTAGCAAAAGAATATGTTTTTCCACACTATCTGTTAAAATTTTTCAGTGAATGTTTAACAGCAGCAGCAGAGCAAATTTCAACCTTTTGTTCCCCTAAGTGTATCATCACTTCCTTAGATTTTGTCAAATATTGCAGTCTGAAGAACAAGTTTCTGCTGTAATCACATCTCTCTTCCTTGCACACACGTCAATAAAATGCAAAAATAACCTTGATAAATCCATGCAGGATTTCAGTGATTTCTACTCCCTCCCCAGTCCAGATTTCCTTTTTCTTTTTTTGCGTGATGTAGAATGTCTGTTCTGGATACAGGAACAGTCCTTTTGCTACAGTCAAGTGGATGTGTTCAAAAAGTGAAACAAGGGTTACCTGAAATATAGAAGGGATAGTTCAGTCTGAACAGTTCCACAGTTAGCAATTAAACTTTCTAGTCACAACAGATATATCTTAAAATGTTTTAAAGATGCTCTGAAAAGATTCAGTCATATAAAAATAAATGCAGAGAGGGAAGGTAGATACAAGTTATCCCTGCTAGTGGCTTAGCTGTGAGGCTGTATCTCCCTAGATGTTTAAAAGATTGTTTCATACTGAGCCTGTGTTGTTTCTGTTTCAGAACTATGCCCCATATACTTTGTCTTGTCAGCTCTTAAATTCCAGTTTGATGATGCTTTGTTTGTGCTCCACCAGAACCTTCATTAATTTAATTATCTACATTGTCTATGTATGAAATCTGTATAGGATGTGGGAGGTTCATTGAACAGGTCTTGATATTATTTACTTGTTAAATGTGGCAAGAGACAAGTGACCTGTTTGATGGTGAGACTAAGTATCTTTCCTATTAAGTGAAATACATTTGACTTGAAAGCTCTTTTTGAAGAATAATTTAGCAGGAATTGACTAAGGCCCTTTGCAGTAGAGAGAGAGAAGTTTTTTGTGCATTGCACTGCACTGGTGGATAGAGAGGCAAGAAGGTAACTTTTCCAGCTTTGGTGTTTATAGGATGCTGTCACATCTCTGGTTTCTCTTACTTAAAAGCTCAGCCTGATTTCTTGGAACCATCAGATATAATGGCCCCAGTACTGCCAATGTCTCACAGGAATACTGCCAGTGGCAGTACTCCTATGACACAGGATTTCACGTGAAAAACCTCCTGTATGTGTGATGGCCTCAACAAGATTTCCACTCCTATGCGCTGTTTTGCTAAACTGCCTGTTACTCGCCATGTGTCATAGCTCATTGTCTTATAGACTCTTGTCTACAAGGAAGAAAACTTGCATTCAGGACTGGATCTATTATTACCATAATGGTCACGTAAGCAAAAATCTTGAAATGTGCTGTCACCCCAGCACTTGAAGCAGAAGAACCCAGTAATCCATACTCCAAAATAAATTGAACAAACTGGCAGACTGCCCAAGGTCATATGATGAAGCACCATGCAAATATCATATCCTCTCTGAAACACCAGAAATCAGTTTAGTTTCTTAATAAATTAAGATTAAAATATCCTTTAACACTATTAAAGGACATAAGGTGATGTTCCGGCAAGAATTTTCTTGACAGAGCAATACGTAAAAGGACACCTTTGCAAACTGTGTTCAGGCAATGACCCAGCTAGTATAAGGTCTCATAATAATTAGAATCACACCACCAATTAATCCAAACATCTGAACTGGAACTCAGCCATAACAATGTTCCACCTGACTGACTAAACTTCTTTTGCAGTTGCAGTGGGTCTGATGCTCCTGTCCTAGTAGAGACAGCATGCCTACTGAAGAGCCTGATACTGTTGCTTTTTCCCCTATTAAACAGTAGCACAACTTCTCCTTTTTTTCCCTCAGCTATTACCTAGCAAAGTAACAGAATGGAGAACAAACAGCAAAGCAACAGTGTGATGAAAGAAAACAAGGAGGTGAAGAAAAAAGTGGTGAGTGAATTCATCAAATCTTCTGTCAAGACATTTGTTTGCTATTTGGGGACTGGAGGTAGAAAATAACTATTTGGAACCTTGTATGAATACTTTGTGGGTTTGGGGGCTTTTTAGGTATATATAGGGTAGCACGTGTTTAGTTTCTGTAATTTACCAATAGCGATTGTAAAAGGTCAAAAATGGTGTGTTAAGGTAAGAAATTATGTATGTGTATTAATCACATGCATATTATTTCTATTTGAGTATGAACTGAATTACTCGCACTGTGCTATTTAGAATGAAACTAAACAAAACACAGGTGTCTGATTCATCTCAAATGCACTCCATGTGTTCTAGAGGCTTGATTCTCCTAACTTTAGTCTTTTACTGCTTATGACCATCCAAAAAGATTATAAATGATGTCTGGATCATCTATCAATATGTACAATTATTTTACATGTTAATGAGTAGCATCTGGCTTTCTATTCAAACACCTCTCAGTTTGATCTGAGCAAACGACGCTTCAAAGTTGCTGCATCATAAACTTCTTCCAAACCTGCAGTGCTCTGTGGCAGTACATATTATGCCTTTGAGAGCTCCAAGCTAGTTCTGAGGTATGTAGCACGTCAAAAGTGGAAAGACCTCAGATTTACACCAATATTAACTGCAGTCATCTGGGAACAGTTCCTGGATGCACTTAATACTCATCATTGCCAAATATAAGGTGCTGTTTAACTCTTAGCAGTTCAAAATCCCCATGTTTGCAAATAGGTACCTTCAAACATAATAGTTGAAAGCTTCTATCTTCCCCAGGTAGCGTGTCTAATCTCCTTCTGTTGCACGGCAGTAGTGTGGTATGTCAGCTCTAAACCTCCTAAGGCTGTGGAAGCATCCCTAACATTTTAATTGGCTAAAAACCTTTTTCTATCCTCACTTCCCACCCTCGGCAACACGGTAAAACGCTTCCCCGCATCACTCTAGCGTCTTGCTTACAGAAGGGTCACCCAGGTCTCCAGTTCGGACCGCGGCACGGGTCCGCCCTGCCAGCCGTGGTTCCCCAGCCCCGGTACCACTCGGCGGGGGCGTCGTGATGGACACCGAGTTGTGACAAATATCGTGACCCCCTGCCCGCCTGGGCCGCTGGGTGAATCCCTGCTGAGGGATGGGGCCAGCCGGAAAGCCAGAGGCGCGGAGGTGGGTTGTGTGCGCTTGAGTTACGTGCGAGCACGCGGAGGAGCGCGCTCGGGCTCTTCCATCCCTCGAGCCCTGCGCCGGCACCGACTCTCTCCGCTCCCCGCTGCAAAGCCGGGGACAGGGCCGCCCCCCCGGGCACCCCCGAGCCCAGGCACGTTCCCCCCGCCCCGCCACCGCGGCCGCGCCCCCGCCCCCGGCGCTGCCTGCGGGAGATGCGCGGCCGCTGCGCGCCGGCGGTGGCGGCGGAATGGCCGGAGCGGCGGGGCCCGAGGGGGACACGCTGGTGGCGCGGGGACCGGGGAGCGGGGGAGGCCGCACCCGCGGAAGCGTAAGTAGCGCGGGGCGGCTTTTCCAGTGAAGCGGGAGCCAGCCCGGCGGTGCGGGCGGGTGGGGGAACTCGGTCTGCGCTGCCCGCGCCTTGGGGGCGATTAACGGGAGAGGGGGTGATTCCGACCCTCTCCGGCGCGGTGCGGAGGGAGGGACCTTCGGCTGGTGCGCGGTGGCTGCGGGAGCTGGAGTAACAGCCCGGAGCTCCCCCGGGAGCCGGGCGGATCTCCGGTTGCACAGCGACGACGCCGAGCCCTTACCCGCTTGGAAAGTTTTTGGTGCCGATGCAGGGGAGGCCGGCGGCGGGCAGAGCTAAAAATACCGCGGCCGGGACCCAGAGGACGGGCGGAGGGCAGCGGCCGGGTCGGGGTGCTCCGACCGGGGAGCGCAGCCGCCGCCGCGGGGGAAGCGGCGGCAGCAGAGCAAGGCGAGGGCGCCGCTGCTGCTTCCCCGCTGCTTCCCAAGACCACCCGTATGGACAAGTCCTTAGGGCAAGGCCAGACCCGGGCAGAGAGGGCTGCAGGGTTTCCCTTTTTCTCCCGCAGCCCCGAGGGCAGAGTAGCCGAAGGGCACCGGGTCCACGGGCACCTGCCGGGAGAGCCAGCCTTCCGCGGTGCGTAACGGGACCCGGGTCCCGTTAAGGGTATCTGGTAAGGTTCTCCGGAGTCCAGGTTCCCTATATCCATAGAAAGTCTTAGCAATAGCTGTTTAAAAAATTAAAGCTTCGTTATGCATGTGTGCAATGTCTACTGCTAGCGGTTGTGTTTAATTTTAGTCTGAGAAGGGGGCTGTGACTGACCAACAAAAGTACAGTACTCTAAACTGTGTTTTGAAAACTGAAATGCAAACTGTCATGCATTTAAAAACAAACAAACAAACAAAAACCCCAAAACAATTTGAGACCCACGGCAGCCAGCACAAATATTACACTGACCAAGAACTAGAGTTGAGAAAAGCACCTTCAGAGCACAGTGCCTTGGGAATTGCAATTAGACCAAAAATGTGGGCTTTCACAAGTAAGCAGTCCTCGGGTACCTGGAAATCTTTGCTGTGAACTGTTACGCAGCGTTCCTGACTGAACACTTATTGCTGTGGTGACGGTCACACCTACCTGCCCTTTGGCTGACGGCAGGGACGGATAAGCACATGCATGGCTGTGAAGCCAAGGAACACCTGTGAAGGAGGCAGGAGGCGCGGTTGCCTTCTTGTTTCCTGGCAATTGCCTTCTTGTTTCCTGGCAATTGCCTTCTTGTTTCCTGGCAATTGTAAAAGACATTGTGGGTTGGTTTTTTTCTTTCCTTTTTTTTAGTGCTGCCACAGGGTTAATATTTTTTTGAGCAACAATTTGTGTGGGTTTTTTTTCTTTTTTTGCATTCTTGCTTCATTGTGCTTTCACCTTTATCTGGAGTTGCTGAAACCTGAGCAAATATTTAAAACAGTGAATGAGGAGACAGGTCATGGAGAAGTTGAAGTTCATGTTCCAAGCTCCAAAACCTCTGAATAGAATGAGTCTGAGGTTTTCTGCAGCAGGTTGTATGCTTAAAAAAATCATGGTATTGAAGTAGGTTCTAAACCCAGCTATTCAAAATACTTGAAAATACTATGAATGTAGGGTTTTCTAAGCACTTCTGTGATTTGCCTTGCATTATCTTCCACTTAGCCTTATGTGCATATAATTTGCCTGTGCTAAAAGGCTTAAGCATTCATTGGAATTTTTAATGAATCCAAGGCTATATGTTCCAAATCATTTTACTTGCAGGATTTTTCTGATGGGTCTAATGTTGTTGGAGTAGAGCCCTTTAGAAATATCGCATCAAGATTACTTGTGAACTCATGCTTATTGTTTGTGAACCCTTCAGGAGCAGCCTGGTAGACCACCGGGAATTTTCCCCAATGAACGTTCAGAGTAGTAGCAATTTCTCCTAAGTCTAGGAATGCTTGTGCATAGTAGAGAAATAATAAGCACCTAATATGAGGTGTTGTAACCAGAAGCTAAATAAAACCTTATGTCAAAGTTTCTACATTTTGTTACCAAAGTAATGGCACAAAGCTCTGTGCGTGTGTGTGTGACACACTCATTTTAAGAAGCAGGCTAATAATAAGAAATTGTATTTGCCTTGTGTAGTGGTCTCTGCAGGATATATTTCTTACACTAGGCTTTTCTCCCCCTGCACACTTCCTCCTGACCTGACCAAAACCAGGCTGGTTAATGAACTGTGTAATCTCTTAAAAGGTTCTCACATCATGTGGAAGAAGTTAAAAACACTCCGCTGTCCTACAGGGTGCATTTTGAGCCCTCTGGAGTGGCAGCTATGAGTGTGGCAGATCCCACGTGTGCCAGGTTGTACTCTGTAGTCCCTGCCTGACCACACAGGTACCTCAGTCCTTCTTCACAGGTCGCAGTGAGTCTCCACTGACTGTGGAACACAAGCTCTGGCACATTCTAACAGCCACTTGCCCTGTTGTGCCCAGGAGGCTGGTGGAACTCGTTCCAGTCCACTGCCACTGCTGCTATGCCATGTGCTAGCTACATGAATGTTTTCCAAAGTGAACATACAGCTTTGTGCAGTTGAGAGAATATATTGATTCACTGTTGCAAGTGATATAACTGAGTCTGAGTTTCTCAAGCCTGCTTAAGCAGGTCTGTCTCCTTTTGAAAGGGTTGAGGCTTCAGTGAGTGAGGAAGCTGGGCATAACTGACAGTGAGCTTTTCTTGAAATTCTAGATTCTTATCACAGTTGTTTTTTTTTTAAATTGAAAACACATTGAAAAGCCATCCATTTTAACATGTTCAAAGTTATCCTTCGTGATCTACAAAACTATATTTGAAATTGACCAGCCACATAAACACTAACTTTAATGTCTCCTGGGACTGGCTGGCAGGGGTCTTTGCTGCTGCTGTCTGTAATCCAGGAGAACTGAGTGGCAGAAAGTAATACTGGGGTAGGTGGAAAGGACCCTGAAATGCAAAATCTCTCAGATCAAAGCAGTTCTACCTTTTATACTACAGCTGATGTGGAAGAAGAAATTGTTTGCAGAGGTTGGTTAAAACAGTATGAGGAGGATGAAGGGAGGAGGCCTGAGAAGGGGGAGGTACAAGTGTGTCATTAGCAAAAAAGGGTAAATGCGTTTCCGCTGGAGAGCATGTGTGGCAGCAAATTACTGTCAGAGACTTGCATTTGGTTTGCAAAACCTGGTTTGTAGGCATCATTTTAAATTTTTTTTGGTCACAATTTCATTAATCCTTGTGGGATTGAGAGGCACATCATCTCATGAGTCTTTATCCAAGCCAGGTCTACCCACAATCCTACTGTATCCCGTATACACTACTCCTTGCTTTGCTGTGTTAGTGAAATATTGTCAACAATTTCCTTTGCTGAGATTATGCTTCTGCAGCATTTTACTTTTAATAGTGGGGGCTAGTAGGATGCTTGCAGCAAAACTCTGTGAGGTTGAAAGAAGTTCAAATGTTCACTTATGCCTCTGTAGATGTTAACTGAGATGCTGTCACTTCAAATTTACTGTTTCTCAGATTGAGAAAGGAGAAGTGTTTCAGGCCATTATTCTGCAACAAGGATATCTGCCTGCAGGAACTATGCAAGATAGCAGAAGAAGTGTTTAAAACCTGAGGTACATTAATTTAAGATATGCTAACAGTGGCTGCATCTTTTCTTTGTCTTTCAGAATTGGTCTGGGAGTCTCATTTTAGCCTCTTTGACTGGTGCTTTTGGGTCATCTTTTCTTTATGGTTACAATCTCTCGGTGGTGAACGCTCCTGCAGTGGTAAGTGACTGACAAAAATGGAATTTAATATCAGTAGAGGGCAGCCTTGTCCAGCTATTGCACACTCTTCAGTATCCTACCTTTACAGTCCTCCTGATTACACAGTAGAAAAAGATTACAGCTCATACACTAACTTTCCTTTGCCTGAAACCTTCCTGCTCTCCATGAGGTTTTCACATAGATCCAGTAGCTATCAGGAATCTAGATGCCACTGTTGTGGTGCATGGGTGCACATGGTTTGCTTCTCATTCTCCCCAAGCCCAGACAAATACTAAATCTCCTTGCACACTTTTGTATGATGAAGTATTTTTAATATCTGCCTAATGGGTATTTGGTAGCTGTATGCACATGTTCAGCAACTTCTGTTCACATGGTTCAGTTCTAGAGGGTTGCACAACATGTCATTCCTGTTGATTAATATTAAAAATAATGCCTCTGGCTTCCCCTCAAATAATAGGCCTCCTCTCCTGCATTTTGTGGTGATGTCTTGTTTGGTTCTGAATTCAAAACTGCTGGGTTGACCATCTGTTGGCTGCAATATGTGGGATAGATTTGATGAATGGAGTTCTGTGGAGTCATTAGGCAAAACTTGTGGTGATTTCATTAAAATATCAGTTATCACAAACAATCTTAGCCCCAGGCTTTGTCAACAGTTTTAAGAACAACTTTGACCTGCAGGTTTATAGATGTCAAACCAGGTATATTTATATAAAATGAATTATTTATTATGACAAATGATCAGACAAAAGATCTTAATCAGAACTATTTATCACACCATAGAAAAGCTAAAACTATTAGTAGTATATAGTATAGTGCAACTATATCAAAGCAATTATCTCAAAGCAATTAGATTAAAGCTAGCAAAAAGAAGTAATTATTTAATTGATGTAACGGCTCAACAATGCTTGTAGGCAGATCTCTTTCTCTTAACCTCAAGGAGTATCCTTGAATGGGTGTCCCATTCCAGGGAGAATCTCCACACACTCCAGGAAGAGTATGTTAGAAGAACCTGCCATATGAAAGTGGACTGGACTTTTATAGTATAAAGTGATTGACTGTCAGTCTCATGTCTCCAGGTCAGCTTAGCATTTTATCTGTCATATTTTTGCCTCACTACCAGTATGTTGGTTTGGGATTGATAAGCCAGACTGGTTTTGGCATAATTCAATACCAAAAACAGCACCTGGACCCCCTCTCAATCCACCACTTATAGATTTGCAAATAGGGTACTTTCCTGTTGAGTTGCTTGACCTCATTCCAGGATGAAGAGCCCTGCTACAGGGGGAAGTTAATTTAAGGCTGGAAAGTTGAAGAACTATTTGTAAATTTTTGTGTCCGTTTTCTTTTGATATTGCAAATCGTGTCAGTTCATCAAACTCCAGAAAAATTCTCCTATAGTTCTCACTGGGTTTTGCTACTCCTGTAGTTCTCACTGAGCTTTACCTCATGTCATCTTATAAGGTAGAGTTAATCCAATTTCCTGGTCACTGAAAGGGGGAAATAAACTGTACAAACTCCACTCAGAGCTGAGATTACATCCAGCTCAGTTCCCTGTTGTTCTGTGGGAAAGAGCAGTGGCCCATTGCAGGTATGATTCCCAAGAAACCCAGAGTTAGAAGTGTCTATGGACTTGTTCAAAGAGCTACCATAATTTATTAAATTATGGGAGCATTTGGCAGTCGGAAGACAAAAGGTTTAATTACATATGAGTTGAAGCTGTGTTTTTCTGAGCAGAATTTCTAAATTTCATTTCATAGACCGATTGTAGACAAGGCCTGTGAAACAAAGATGTGCTTTGTGCTCTATGCAGGGAAGCAAAGCCTCTGCTACTTTCTGATTTGCTCTTGCCCTCTTCCTGGGGAGGGCTGCAGTTCTGAATTCCTAATGCAAAAATGTACAGCCTGCTGTGTCAGCTGGTTCAGTAGTGGTTGCTGTGTGTAAGTGACCTTTGTAACTATGGGTAAGACGAGGAAAATATTTCCCTTATATCTAAAATGTACCCATTAGATTAATATATATATATATAACTATATATATCCCTTACATTCCTCTTAGTTTTCTCACCCTAGCACTACTACTGTAATAGACTAAAGCAATTGAGAAAATAAGATACTGATAATGCATCAGCTACTGTTTCTTGTTGGCTTTGATTAGGGGCTAAAATTTGTGTATACAGGTTTATGACTTTAAAATTATTGAGACACTTGATCAAAATCCCAAAGGAGCCTTTCCATAGAATTAAATGGATTAAAATCTAGTGGATTTGTTAGATCAGATTTGTTTTGTTTCATGTTCTTCCCCTCAAAACCTCTATGTGTTACTAGCTTCCAATTTATTGGCAATGAAAATCCAAACACAGGTGCTGTACATGTCAGAGCATCTGTATGTTACTACTGAGTGTTGTAGTTTGCACTTTTTCTTGAATATTTGCAGTTATTTATGTCTCCTTGTAAAAAACCAAGCTATGATGAGAAAATTAGTCATAACACAAGGGGAGAATAAATTGCATACTGTTTTGAACCATTATCATTAGCGAGAAATGCTAATAGTGTTGTAAAAGGGCTTTCTCTTAGCATTCATTACTATCAGTAATTAACTTCAAATAAACAAGATCTCTGAATCTAAATATAATCTGAGTATTGGTGTTAAAGAGATAAGATGTACTACTTGATTTATTGGCAGATTCATTTGGAAGCTTACTGTGAGATTCTTATAAATAGACAAAGTATCAAATTGACTTTTATCCTTTTCTTTTTTTTTTAAGAGGTTTTTTTTCTATCTGTTTAGAAACACATAAGATAGCTTTGGAGAAATATCCATGTCCACCTTTTAATTCAAGGTACAAGAGGTCTACTAGAAACTTGATAGAAGGAATTCAGAAAGTTGTATGCTTTTACCTCCACCTTTCTTAAGGTACCTTGCAGATGGAGAGGTGGTGATTCAAATTAACTGAAGTCCTCAAATCAAATATTCTGTGTGTCCAAGGCTAGACTAAAGTTTGAAATTCCTAGTTTGAATGGGGAAAATATTGTGGCTTATATTGCTGAGTCCTGTTCCAGGATACTTTAGGAGCTATTACATACTGAAGGAAATCTGAGAAGAAACTGGGGAAAAGAACCAAGATTGAATTTTGTGATATTGTAGAGCTTGTTGGGAAGCGGTGACAGAGAAAAGGTGAGAGCTTTTCACAAGCATGCTGTGCCCTTCTGCTGTAGTGACTGCAGCTGCCTGGTGCTGTATCCTCGTCAGAGCATCAGGCACAGCGGTCCTTGATTTTGAAATGGGAGCAGCATAAAAATGAGGAAGTCTGACTAACAAGAAAGTAAACAGGCAATGTCTCTGCAGACAATACAGAGAAGTTGTTAGAAAGCATCCTTCAAAAACCTGCAGTTGTGCTCATAAGGAAAGCAGAAAAAGAGTATAAACTCTGTCACACTGAAGGCTAAAAAGTGAGCTGGTCCTAGACATTTATGTCTACCTGTAGTTTTTTCCACACCTTGTTTGGGACTGCCATGCAGTTATACGTATGGATGCTTTCATTGATCTAGTTTTATTGCAGTTGCATCTAGAATTGAGGGTCCATTTTTTGGAGGAGAGCAAGGGTGATTGCTGCAAGTAAGCTATTGGGCTGATTTTTTTTTTTTTCTAATTCTATTTCCCTCAGTTGTATTCTTAATGTGTGATTTTTTTTTTTACATGTATTATTACTATTTATTTTCTTTCAGTATATCAAGAAGTTTTACAATGAAACTTGGCAGAGCAGATACGGCTTCTCAGTGAATGAAAGCACTCTGACACTGCTCTGGTCCATAACTGTTTCTATTTTTGCCATTGGTGGCCTTGTGGGTGCCATTATTGTTACCCCAATTGTGAAGTTCTTCGGACGGTAAGTGTACTGCAAAACTTGTATTTTCTAAAGTGGTTTCTCACTTAGTCTCTCTAGAAGGCTTTACTTTTATTTTTGAAAAGCACCCTCTTCACCAGAATACAAATTTAAGTATCTTTAAATCATGAAAGCTCATTTCTGAGAGATATGAATTTCCAAGAGTGAAATTGGTACCTTTCTCTCTGGCCTTACTGTGTATCATTTAAGTCAAAGAAGCCATTTGCTCTGAACTGACAGTGGGTTGAGATGTCAAGGAGGTTGCATTGTCAAGAATGTGAAGGGAAAATACTGTAAAATAGAAATGATGTCACAAAGGACTGGTAGATTCTTGTTTCATGTGTCTGCTGAGTACCTTACTGTAAGCAAACAAAGCCATCAATATATCTCATTTGCTTCTTAACAATATCTGTTGTCATATAGTAATGAAAATTTGCATATTTTTCCTTCCTTATGTCAATTTAAAAAGAGCTTGAAGAACTAAACTAGGATGAAGTTCATGTTTGGTCTTTGCCAAGTTTGGGGATACTGTCCCTGCTCTATACACTGCAGTATTTGACCAAGTCTTGACCACAGAGAATATGAACATTTTAGGAATGTTTGTGCTGGTGCGTGTTTGCATTTTTGCTGCAGGTACTGACTAGATATTTCTGTCAAATTTTTGTTTCATACAGTCTTCCAAAGAGAATTTTAAAGGTAATTCATTAATTACCTATAGTTAGAAGAGCATGAAAAAACCCTGCCACTGTAGTATTCATCATAACTGCTCATTTGGATTTCCTTAATTGCAAATTCTATATAATTTGATATTTTTTTGTCAGTTAAATCACAGGAGAACATCATCATGGAGGCTTAAATACAAGCACTGACCTCCACTGTTCTTACTTTTCTGTTTTACACTTTGACGTTTCTGTACACTTTGACTGATTGTACTGTCCTAGGTCTCTTTGGCATTCTCCTGACTCTTCCATATTCCATTTTTCACCTCAAAGAGTATATTTTCAAGCTCTTCCATTTCATGCTTACAGCAAGTCAGTATTCTTTGCTGTTACTCATTCTTCATTAATTTGTTCTGTCACTTCACCATTTGATTTTCAATTTTTAAATATTTTTCATAGACACATTATTTCTTTTTTTTAGGTTTTCAACTTCTTCTGCCAATTTGGCTTTTACACACTTGTGTAATATATAAAACTATGCCTGATTAAGACAGATTAATTCCCAGAATATTGCTAAGTCTTCATTAAAATAAAGTGAAGTAAAAAATTCGTTCAAAGAAGGCTTGAATTTTCAGTGAAGAGTAGAACAGCTTTGCATGCAATTCCTTAAAGTGGTGGCTGATCAGTCATAGATACACCACTTCAATTGGAGCTGGTTGTGTTTCCAGGGTAGACCTTTACACTTGCAGATTCTGCCCGTGTTTATTATGTTTATCTCCATTAAGCCATGAAAACAGCTCTGTTACAGATATGGTGTATGAATGTTACAGTACAGATGGCAAAGGGTTGTGTGGATAAAGGCTACTCACCAAAGAGTGGTTCTTAAGTTTGCTGTTCACACTGCAGTGTGTTTTTCTGGTCTAGGAACTCAGACTGATGTATCATTATAGTAATTGGGGAGCACATTGTGAAATGTTGACAGAACAATAAAATACTCTGCTGTTAAGTTGCTCAAGTGTAGGTTGGAGGGTTGTATGTATGATGAAGCTGAGCTCCATTTACACTGACACAGAACAATGAGCAAAGGGGGATCAAAAGCATTAGTCAGAAATAATGTATGACTTTAAAAAGAACACTTGAATCACATTGCTGTAAGGTTAATAACATAATTTCCAAATTACTGGATTCCTAGGCCCTACTTACTTCAAGAGAGATATAGAGTAGTTTTTTGAAAGGGAACCTTCACACACATAAGCTTAAGTCCCCTGTGTCTTTGACGCTTCATAATTTAAATTCTCTTCTTCTAATGAAGAGCAGCTGTTGTTGTGTATCCTGAGCACCCAGAGCAACATGCTCAAGGGATTGCTTAGACCGCTGCTAGGGAGCCACATTCCCAGGCTGAGCATCACTACAGGTCCCTCTCCTTCCTTTTTGTGCCACAGCAGGTCACACCCAGTGCCTTCAGTGAGAGAATGGGCAGTGCAAGGAGTCAGAGTCAGTGTGTAACAACTTCTTTGTGCCGTTCCTTTCTTCTCCCTCCTCCTGTTTTTAAAATTTTAAAGTATATTTTTGTGATTTAAAAATTTTTTTTAACAAAGTAATAATTTTCCATAGAGAATATTTCTTTTATTTGAAAAATACTTTTAATTTTTTATTTAACTGTTATATAATTATTTAAATTTAAAAGTGGGAAAGAAATATGTAAATCTGTATTTTGGATAATTTGAACAATTTTTAGAGAAGGGTTGAGTTTTACTACTCATATGAGCCCAAGTTTTTTTTCTAACTCGACAGGTAGGAGGTAATTTTCCTCAATGTATGTTTTCATTATCATGGATTTAAGAATGAACTATAATGACATAAATATGTCAGTGTTGAGTAGTTCTCAACGTGTCAAAAAACATATGTAGCATTAAAATGCCTGTAGTTATATCAGCTTGTTGCTATTTAAAGTATATTCCACAGTTCCTCCATACATCTAGACATCATCTACCCAGAGTACATTCGTTTATGCTTATATTCATATACAGAATCTTGGGCATGTCATTTGGGTTCTTGGGATGCATGGAGTGGCTAATTGCTCTGCTTTTGAAATACAGCTCTTCAGTTAGCTATGATATGTTTTATTTTAAAGCTGTGGTATAGGTTTGAAACTGTATACATTTGGGTATAGTGCTGTACTTTGGAACCTCACAACATCTAAGAGGCAGTGTTTGTTAGGAACTTTCTATTCATGAATGTTTAACAGCCTAGTATGCTTGGAATTTGAGTAGATTTAGCTGCCATGGTGCTGGTTTCTATATAAGCTGTCTTTTCCTTTTAGGAAATGTACGTTGCTGCTCAATAATGTGTTTGCAGTGACAGCTGCGTTGTTGATGTCCCTCTCCTTGCTGGCAGGGTCGTTTGAAATGCTCATACTGGGCCGCGTTATCATGGGTGTTGATGCAGGTAAGCTTTGGTCATGCTCTACCTGTCTGAAATGCTTGTGCCATGCATAAAATCCCCCCTCTCCTCCAGCTAGAACTTTCTTTACATTGAAGAGGTGTTTCAGGGACTAGCTGTAGCCACACTGATTTCACTGGGACAAAACAGCAGACTAAGGGCTGAAGGATCTGATGTTTGGAGAAGACATTGGAATGAATGTCAGCCACTGCTATCCATCCTAGTTGTTCTCCCACTTTTCCTCTTCCAACCCTGGTGTATTTTATCTGCCTTCATGCCATGAAAACCCTTAAGCTGGGAGGGTGTAGCCTATTTATTAACACTGCTTGTTGCTGTGAGTTTAGAAGTTGTTGGATTCCATGCTAATACTGGCAGGATTAAGGAAGGTTTGGTACATCTTCAGCTGCTCCTAGCAATATGGTCTTCCCAATTTAAAAGTAAACCATTGAGGCACTGCAGCACTAGAATTGTCTTGCAGCTAAAAATAAGGGTCTCAGCAACTTCTCAGGCCACTAGATGTGAAGTTCATGAGTCATTTTGGTGCTGACTGCTAATTTTTGTCTAGGTTACCACCAAACTACCAAGCTTCTGGAGCTATGTAAATACTTTCATTGTACTAACTAGGATCATGGAATTGTTTCTTCCTGGTTTTGAGCAGCCACCTCACCCTTATTATCTGCCTACTATGAAGAGTTCATTGCAGGTGTAAGCCTGTACTGAGAGGAATATCTGCTAGTACTGTTTACAGTAAAAATATTTCACCTGACAGTATCTGTTCTATTTGATGGATACATTGGTTTGCATTTTTTTCCTTACCCACACCAGTGCTAACATGACTTTCTTTGCTTCGGAATGAGCAAATTTAAAACACCAAATCTGTTCTCCTGGTGATTCTCATCTCTGAGTAACCTTTGGTGCTCCTCATCAAATAGCACATACACACATTTCTGTAGATCTATAAAAGATAATCAATCCAATGATTATTAAATGGTGTAAGAGTAATTAGACGTACAGGGAAGATAATTCATATTGTCCGTGGACAGATATATTTCTGCTCTTTGCATGTTCTTATGCCACTCTAGTGAGCAGATTAGCGCTCAGACTCTTTCCAGTAGACTTTTTTTTCCATACCTGACATAATGAAAAGAAGTTTTGACTTAATATATGGGTTTTTTTCTTCTTTTGTAGGAATTTCCTTAAGTGCCCTTCCCATGTATTTGAGTGAAATATCTCCTAAGGAAATCCGTGGTTCATTGGGTCAGGTCACAGCAATTTTCATCTGCATTGGCGTTTTCACTGGTCAAGTTTTAGGGCTGCCAGAAATATTTGGGCAAGTAAGTACTTAACACGTCTTTTCTGTCAAAGAACACAAGTGTGTTTTAAGTGTCATATTTTTTGTATTTTGACTGAGTTCTTTACAAAAGTGGAAAATAGAAACAATAGGGTTTTTTGTTTTGAAGCACTTTGAAAAGTAGTTTCCTCCATGTGTTCTAAAAGCAGGTACATATGACTAAGTTTGGTAGATGTAGTCAGCAGTTTTAACAGCTTGAGTAGCTTGTGTGTGTCCATGTGTGGGTTACCCTCCTCCCCTTTCTTGATGTACATTTATTTTTGCTGGTTTACAGTTTCTTTGCATATCAGGGAAATGCCTAATAGCTTTTACATTTTTGATTTGTGATTTTTCAGTGTGAGATAGAACTGAAAAAGGCTTGGTTAGAGTTCGTATGAGAACCTGAATAGGAAGACCCTTGCTTAGTGATTAGAGTGTTCCTTGTAATGCACTCCTGCTTTTAGATTATGAGGTGGAAGAGCAGAGCTAATATATACCTTTATGGAAAGATTATCTCTTCAGTTAATAGGTTGTCTTGCTGTCATAGACTGAGATTAACTTGGTGACCACTGGATGTCATCATTGCTCTAAATAAATGAACTTGAGTTTGGTTATGGCTGGTGCTTGGAAATACAGAATCACAGAATTGTTAAGGTTAGAAGGAACCACAGTGGGTCATCTGATCCAACCAGATACTTTCCTTTCAGATGTGAATCTTCAATGCAGTGTGGAGGAAATATCTGTATCCTCTCACAATGAAACCTGAACTCAGAATCCCTTCTGACAGCCAGCAGAAGTAGTAAACTGTTCCAAAAGTGAGGAGAACTTTTCCTCCTCTATCCATCCAAACTCAGCTCCTTTGTAAATACACAATGTCATTCTCCCTGACACTTTTAATTTTGTTTGACCAGCTCTCTTATTCTGTCCCTTTATCCTGTTAAGCCCTCCTGCAGACAAACAGTTTGATTCAATTTACCCTTTGTTGAATTATAGTTTTCTCCTCTGTCCTCTTCAAAGCAACAAACTTTAGAAAAAAGCTTTAAATGGCTTTTACTGACCTTCTTTGGTGACTTCTACAGAGTTGCCCTCTCTTGCTTTGGAAATTAATGGAAATGAATGTATGAAATGTCAAGAGGCCAATCAGATTGTTTAGAATATATGTCAGCCCTTATGTAGTAGGTTGGGTTTTTTATTTGGTTTTTTGGGGAGGTTGTTGCTTGTTTTTGTTTTTTTTAAACATGCATACACTTTTAAAGGTGAGATGTCATGCAAATTTTTCCCTCTTATGTCTTTGGGATATTTTGAATAGGAAATACTTATTTCTTGGTTCCAGCTCATTCTTGCTGTTTTTATTTCTCACCTTCCTTTCATCCCCATTGTTGCTGCTACCAAATTATGGAGATTGCTTCTACAACCTGCTTTATTATGAAGTTAATTAATATTACACTATTAAAGATAGACATTAATTAATTTATGTAAGAAGAAATAAACTTTATCCGTAGAATTAGTTCTTTTCAAGATAGATAACATCAGCATGTTGGCTGATGTGAATTAGCATATTTCCAGAAAAATTATTGGAAGCAGCTTGAATTTCCTAGTTGGGTATGTGGGTGTATTTTTCTTTTTATCTCTATTGGTTTTGGTCAAGCCAGGATTTTATTCACTAGCTTTATGTGGTTCCCATTGAACCTCCCTCAGTGGGACGTAGTTTTTATTTTGTTGCTCTGTGGTTGTTTGTTGGTTTCCTATCAGAATTTGTTGTAAATAATAATAGTTACAAATTCATGTCTTCTGTCACGGTTTCGTAAGAGTATTCTCTTGAGCTCTGTCATTTATCTATTACTTGTAAATTGAGCAAATATCTAAGAGATTATTAACTGTAGTATCTAAGCAGTGATGGTTTTGAAGAAAGGAGGGACAAAGCCAGAGTTGGGCATCATACTGGAAGAGATTTGTTGGAAGAGGAGGGGACATGAGCAGGGCTTTCAGCATGGCTGGGATTCTGTCTTGTAAGAGCAGGTAACAGCAACATTGCTTGTGTGTTCAAGTAGAGGGAAGGGAGACAAACTGACTGCACCATGTAAACACAAGAAAGAGAACTGCAGAAGGAATAGAGTGGCTTAATCTCAAGGACAATATGGCTACAAGAATGACTTTTATAATAATTGTGTGAATAATTGCATGCAGAAATTCATCAGAGGGATGTTTGGAACAGACTCTCAGCTGAAGTAGCTTGAGCAGAAAATTTAACTTTTAAATTGGAGCTTGATGCATTCTTGTGGGTTATATGAAGTTGTTGCCTTCAGTGGTTCTGTAGAAGTCTCTTCACAGAAAAGGAAAGTGTTTGTGTCGGCAGGGGGGCATAGTGTTAACAAGCATTTATTAACAACCTAAGTGATTACTTCCTCTGTTATTAAATACAAAAGTGTTGCTTTAAATGTGGAATTATGATAAAAATAGCTCTGAAGCTCTGAGTGTTAACTTGAGGCAAAAAAAACCCCCAATAATGGCAGTAAAATCTAAATACAGGCATTCTTTTAGATTCTGAATATATAGACTTTTATCCTATTTGTCTCCAAAGGTACTAATTTTAGAGTACCAAGTCTGAAGAATGCTTTCCTTTAGCATGCAATGCTTAGCAAGAGTGATTATCTGAAGGAGAAAAGCTGGAGTTGTGACAATGCTGCAGTGACTTGATATTCTTTCTTTCTTTCCACTGCCTTAATTCCCTCACATACAAATATCTCAGCAGTGCTTTTTATTCAAGATTCTGATTCTTGTAGGCCATAACTTATGGAAAACTGTATCTACTATGTCTCCACTGAGGTTTGGTAAATTACACAGTCATAAAGCCAGCTGGCGATCAGAGCACAGAGCATGACAACTTTATGTGCTGGTGACCTGCTTCTCTCCACCACGCTGACTGCTGAGAGCTGAGTGCTTGTTTTCATGTGCTAGCATCTCGTTTTATTTAGTGTTCTGTAAGCCAGAGTTCTTAATTCTTCAAGATGTCATGGCAACTATAAATGACAACTTGGTGCAGGCCCACAGGTGTGCAGAGATGTTGTCTGCTGTAATGTGAGCACCAGATTATTCCTACTGGCTACAGGATTATTTAATTTTTAGTTGTATTACGTGTGCAGTTTTCCATGTATCTGACTGAAGGAAAAAACAGACATTAAGATGAGGTCTCAGATCTGTCAACTCTTCAAACACTGCCCTTCAGGTGTTTCCATTCTGTCTGTTTCTATGATTCTACAATTGAATCACCCAGCCCATTTTTCCTAAAAGATTGATCCCTGCAAAGCAAAGACCAGTGCATTGTCAAATTCAGTTTTGAAAGTTCAAATTTACACTTACTGTCTTGGGGGAATATTGTCTGGCCTGATTCTGGCGTATTACGTGAAACTCTAGGCATCATTCTGACTATCTCATCTAGTTTCTCCTGCATGTGATGTCATGCTCTACAGGTTTTCCTTAGCATGAAAACATCTTTTAGATTTTATAAACCACAAGACTGTCTCTTCTATTGGTTCATTTGTTTAATGAAGGTAGGCTTTAATCTTTCCTTGAATGATAGAGGATTTAGTTTATGAATATTTTTTCAGTAGTTACAATGTTCATATTTTTTAATATACCTAGAGCCTCAGTATCTCTTTCATCTGTGTATAGATACAAGAAATGGGACAAAAAAAATTTTTATGGTATGTGTATGTATTCAGGGCAGATAAAACCGAAATTTTTGCCTGTTGCCAGGTTTTCCTCAGACTTCTGCTTTGAGCCCCCTTTCCTATGTGTGGTGTGTAAAGCTTTGCCAAGCTGCAGTTGTTTTCTCTGGAGTTGGTCCCAGTGGTTGGCTGGCTCTGGCTGCTTCTCTGACCAAACAGCTGTTTGCCATAGGTAGGCCAACAGAAAAATAGAATTTTTTAGGTTTACTTCAGCAACCCTATTTTATAGACTTCAAGTGTTTCTAGGTAACGCACCCAGGAGCTTGTCTAACTACATTGTTGCACTGTTTCATAGCGGATAGCGTGTCATCCTAAAAACCCTGCTTTGCTTGCATCCTAAGACTTGCCAAATAAACCCTATTACTGCTGTAAGTGTTTCCAGGGAAAAAAAAAAAGTAGCGTAAACAGAACAACATAAAATTCCTGATGCGTCCATCTCTTGAATGTTGCAAGTTGTTTTGGTCATTCTGTTTTTAAAGGGTCAAGCAATAAGGGTACAGAAAGGAGCAGCAATTATCAGAGATGGGAAGTGGCTTATTGAGGAGAAGTCAGGGTTAAACAGCTCTTACGGGTAACCCCATACTGGGGAAACACTCAAAGCAATGAAAAACAAAGTACACCTGAGAAGACTTAGAATTTGCCTTAAACTGACATGCTGTCTTTTCTAGACTCTTCTCGATCTTTCTTTAAATACGTTTGGAATTTATTATGTTGCAAAACTTTGTATAAGTGGTTATGGTTATGAACTGTATTAATTAGACATTGTCTTTGTCATAGAAGGAACATGAATTCATTTTAAATTACACTTTTTTTGAGGATTTTGAATTTTTAATACATATCTGGCTAGAAATTTCCTGTTTTTAAAAAAAGGAGTTAGCTGGAAATACGTCCTGATATATGATGACAATGGCCAAACTGTCCTCCACACAACTGATTATTTTAGCAAAGTAATTCTGTTACTGATATAAATATCAATATAAATTTCTGCAGTAAATTGAGCTAAATTTAGAAAGGGACAAATGAACTTCACAGACACTGTACTATGTATCTAATAAGGAAGCATCTCTGTGATTAGTCCCTTTCAAGTTAGTTCTTTACATGAGTGGACCTTGCAAAGAAATATTTGTGATTTAAAAAAAAAAATCAACTAAAAACTTTTGTAGATACTGTGTCAGACTCTAATTTTTCTTAACAGACCTCTTAGAAATGATGTGTTTAATGTGATAGATAGTTGTGTATTTGAAAATGTTTATATAGGAATTTTTCGTTTTGCTTT